AAGTAAGCTATAGTTTGGTTTACGATTATTGTTTAACATTAGATCTTATTTTTAAACATCGGGTCGGTCCAGTCTTCGAGAAAACGGATCGTGCAGAGCTCTACAACAGCAATTCTCAACAACAATTTTTTTAGGGTCGCATCATGCGAAAAAAAAATTATTTCAAAACAACAACAGCAACAGAGTCATTAAATTAAAAAGTATAATTTTTTTTTTTTTGTAAAATGTATACACAAATAAATATAATAATAACAGTTAGTAAAAATTGTTCAATGCTTACATTACAAAAGGGTCGTTAGACATTTTGGTGACATTATGGGTTAGGTCGCGAACTCAAAAAGGTTGAGAACCGCTGTTCTACAATACACGCACATGTGCATTGTAAATGTAATGTGCACGTCCTGATTAGGGAGGCGGGAAGAAGGGATTGCTGAAACGGTGGTGACGGCAATAATATAATAATAATGTGTGGGATAAAATGTATTCGTCTCTCGGATTGCCGACTGCACAATGCACGGATTTTCGTCCCGATTGAAATCCCGCGGCCGACCTATTTGCACGCGTATAATGCGGACATTGTCGACCGACGCGATAGAACGTCTGCGCGTACCACAACGTTGCATACGTACGGGACACTATCACGCGGACTAATGCAGCTGAGACGGCCTCGTCTCCCGGCCACCGATCGCCTCAAAGGACGCACGATCTGTCGGACGCGTGAATGCGTCTATTGGCGTAAACGATGCACAAATACTTATATCGCTCATATGTGCAAAATACGGTACACGAATGGGGTGAAAACTTGAATTCCGCGACTGTTATACGAACGCGAGCCACGTGTACGCGGCCCAATGCCGGATTCAGCGGGTGTACAGGGTGTGCGATGCACCTCCTCTCCAGATGCAATTCCTAGATTTTCTTGTTAGCATAGAATAATACACATTATATTATTAACAACAGATATTCAACAATGATCCGGCACATAAGACTGTAAGAACGTTTAACCTAATTATAAATTGTAGGATCGTTTATTCGTTTATACGATTACTATTATTATTATCGTTTTAACATAATGTTACTGTCGTAAATCGACTCCTACTTGTGTACTATTACCTATTACTAACAGCAACCATATGCTTAAGGTGTCGTCATATGGACTTGGGTGATACAAAATCAAAATAACAACACGCGGGCATTAATTAATACTGACGGGCCGTAGGAGCGCCGCCTTACTATTCAAATAAACAGTACTGATACAAAAATGATTATAAATAATAATAATAATAAAAAAAAAAAGATATGTTAAAACCGATAAAATAATGAAATAATATTGAAAGACGTACTCAACTGCGATAATGTCAACTTCAACTCACGTGCGCACGCGTATAAGAGTAGGACGGTCTCAGTTTTTACTTGCATCAAACCGCAACACGAGGCGTACAAACAAAACGAACGCTCTCACGAAACGTTAAATGGTCAAAGACCTAGCATTAACAAATCCGCAACCACACGTAGTAACACGAGCTCAAAATCAACGCAAAACGGAAAACATGACCGGGCACAAAACGGACCTGAAAATAGAAGGGCAAACACAATGGCACTAGACACCGGAAATCTCTCACGTCGTTTCTCCGCGTTGAAACACACCGACGCGACGCTTACCGTATCGACTCTTATCGTTATCAAGTCTAAAATCCCATTTCTGGACCCATGTGTCCGCGGACAGAGGAATCGCGAGCGATAAAATAGAACCATCAAGGAATTGTTCTAGTCCGCGTTTCCTTGTGTATTTTGCACGTATATAATTTATATAACTTGTGAGAATTTTTGAATTTTTAACAATTTTTTTTTTTTTTTTATGATGGCCGTCGATTATAAAATGCACCTCGGCATTCAGAGATTTAAATTCGACACTTACACGTGCACGAGTAATGGACAGAGAGAGGAATTTGTCGGAATGCGTGCGTGTCTATACCACCTAGTATGCCGGGGTTGGGTTTCGGTAGAAAATGTGTACGCGCAACAGAATCGTAAATCCGCACGGGAAAACGGTTCGGTACACGAAGTCTATGGATGTATTTAACATAACACGTTAACGTTTCATGTGAACCGCGTGCGCATAACATTCACAATATCAACTGGTAAATGGCAAAAACAACCAAGAGGGACATGGTGATCTTAACGGTGCTAATGAACCAGTGTCCTTGTTCATTGTTTTGAGAACTTCGATGTTTATAATCCGGGCAGTCCAAGGTATCTTCAACATTCATCTACATAACCATAACTCAAATGCTTCTTGTTTCTTCGTGAGAGCCAGACTTCCACACCATAGAGCAGCGTATAGAACACATAGCATCTTATGTGTCTCGTTCTTGTTTCAAGAGATCACTTAAGACTCTTAAAGATTGGTCTCATTGTGTAAGATTTTGTTCTCGCTTTTATAAGCGCAATAAGGCGAGAACTAAGCATAGTCCCCCGAATATTTATCTATCTTCCACATAATAGGTACAGGTACAAATTAAAAAATAAGATTCATTTATTCACTACAAATAGTGTAATGAATAAACGAATATAATTTTATTAGTATTATTCTTAGTCATTTTTAACACATCAACGTTTATAAACTGTTAAACATTTTCCGTTATCTGCAAGTAAAATACAAGACTTTTTTTTTCGTCGGTACCATTTTTAAAACTTCACGGTAAAATTAAACGTGGTCAATTCGTTGAGAAAAATATTTAGTGTTTATTTTAGAATTTTTCAAATTACCTGATAGTTGACGAGTTAATTAAAAAAATTTAAAGAATTTTGAATATATGTTTAGGTTATGTTGAAATGAATTCTGGTTCATCAACTTATGAACCTTAAACTAGTAGTGTATATATATATATATATATATGAATAACTTGTATATAAATAATGCAAATACTGTCGTACATCAACGCAAAATATTACATAATGCGCATTATAATAATTATACGCGTGTAAAATAATCGGTTAGTCATTCGTCGATGATTATATTGTAAACCATAGACGCGACGATCACGACTATTCGCGCACAAATATCTACCAAATGTTAGGTACTTTTTGTGAAATATCCGCAACAGTTATGCGCGCACGATTATCGTCGACCATAATGGGTCCCGGTAATATTATTGCGTAAACTGCGTGTGAGCGCACAAGCACCATAAGTAACCGGCAGGTAACCGTGCATGTCTCCTACAGGTGTGATGGATATTCATTAATAGAGCTCGGATTTAAAACTTTGAATCACTTACTTTAAATAAGCACTTAAAATCATACGAATATGCTCTAAAAAATAGCCAAAAATGTCCTTAAAAAATGCATTTTACCACAAAAATGACCTTTAAAATGACATAATTTTTTTTATTTTGGGCATTATTTAATACATTAAATTCACATTCACACGTAATACGAGCAACGTCTGCGAGGTAATACGAACTAGCTAATTATTTTTTATTTGACCAAATACTGGTGACGTTCCATAGTCAATAATAAATTAAGATTTAATAAATCTAATAAATTTTAAATTTGATTTAATAAATCAATTTTAATAAATTAAGATAAAAACTGAATCGAAAAAAATTTTTATTTAATAAAGATTGACAATGTATTTGAAAAAACCCGATAGACCTACTTAAATATCAAGAAAATAATTTGTCTTTTGATTTGATTTTGAATACGATAAATTTGTTTAGTATATCGAACAAATATGCATTAAAAACCAAAAAAAATGACCCAATAATACTAAAAATGCTCTAAAAATGTCGAAATATACAAAAAAAGGCAAAATAAAATTTGTAGTTTTAAAACCCTCGTTACATGAAACGAATTATCTTCTTAGAGAGCATTGTGTATGATCAACCAAAAAAATATGCACTTTGCATTGAAATCCGGGCCCTGTTCATTAGTTAAGCGCGTACATTGTGCACCGTAATCGTTCGACACGCGTTCGTCATCCCGCGTGAGTTCGTAGTGACGAGAGTACGGTTCGCGGCGACCGTGAGAACGAAAGACCGCAGGATAAAAGTGCACTCGCGGAGAGCGCACCGATAAACTAACGACCGTACTTCTCGTCACCGTGCGGTTTTTTTCAAAATATTAAGTTGTCGTGTCAAAACAAAACGATTTGACAATGAAGAAATTACACGGACGTTCGGACAATTCATATATTGTTCGATAAATCATTAATCTTCTGTGCTCGGCGCGCGAAGATGTTAATTTTTTTTTCTTTTTTCCCACTCACCGCACCGGACCGCCTGAGTTCAGTTTTTTTCACTGGTAAATCCTACAACGTTATTATTTCTACACACCCGTTTCGCCCGGAAGGTCACTCGGTCATCGTTATACGTGCAAAAGAAATCGGTTCGGCAATGTTCGCCGTTTAGCCGTAATGCGAACATTTTTCTGCGATTCGCGTACTGAATCATTTGGAGAGTTCTACTACTGTACAGATAGATAACAATATCGAGTAAAGTTTGATGATCGACTAGACGTGTAGGAATTTATTTTTTCGATTTAAAACAGCGTTAAAAAAAAAAAAAAATTAATCGCCGCGAGTGCAATGTATTTTTTTTTTTATCCTCTATGGTTTCCGTACAGAGTATACTGACTGAAACCGCTTATCGACGGTCGACGACGATGTTGATCGAAAACGAACGAAAGTGATTGACAAAAGAAATGTGAAACACGGATGCGCTTATGCACGTTCACATGTATTATACATATTAATCATAAACGTACATTTGAAAAAAAATACACGAAAAAACCATTTGGTTTCTGTTATCAAACGGAATTCGATGGCATTGTAAAAAAAAAAAAATAATAACAAGTCCGCACATTGCATCGTATTGCATGTACGTAAAACTGTTTCAAAGGTACAACGCGTGTTTTTCGTTTGTCGAACACAAACGCGCGTGACAGTCGTTTACACACGCTACCCGTGGTTACAATAATGTAAGGGTCCGAAACTGTTTAGAGACGAGGTGGGGAATTAGGATATGTTCGGGACGTCGAACTGTCTGTCGAACAGTTTTACGTTAACCTGCTCGGAACAAGACTGGTATTGTACTCTTCGCTGCGCAGCGCATCGTGTCGGGTAAGTGAATTGTATTTTCGTTCATTATTCAGCGGTAGACTAATAATATAATAGTGAGAGCGGCGAACAGACTAACTCGCGTTTTGTAGACGAAACGTAGGCGTAGTGTATTTTCCCCCGATTCCAGACGAAATGCGCCACATGGCGTTTTATTTTTCGTTATATTTTTTTTCTCGCTTTAAAACAGTCACCGAGTTCAGATATAATGTATACACGCAGAGATGGGCAACGAGACCGGACGCGTGTACAACAATAATAATACTAATAATAACCGTGCGTTAATTGTGTTCGATCGCCCCCGCTGATCGGCCGCGCGCGCGTCGTCTCGTAATACTCGAGCGTTTTGGTGCAACACAGCGATTATAATAGGGACTGCTGTTTACGAACGCGGTGCCGTCGAGAAGAGATTTGTCCGGAGCAACGGGTCGGCCTGTGAAATATTACCGTACTCGCGCACTCCATCCGAATGCTTGTGGGACCCACTCGAGAGAACGCCTAACCTTCGCCATCTCGTAATATATTATCACCGTCGGTATGAGAATACGTAAGTTACGCACCTCGGAGACGAACGTGTCGCGACGTCTGCGGATGCGCGTGAGTAACGAAAGTGCAAAGTCACAAGTGATATAAGCGTATCGAAACGTTACACGAATGACGATCGCATTCTTGTACCAAATATATATGTACGTAAATCGAATCCTTCTCGCCTGCGTACAAGGTGGGACACGGCGTCGTCTGCGTTGTTACGGCTCGTTCGCGTAGGCAACGGCTAAAACTGACCGGCTTCACGTACCCTGTACATCTTGTTGTGTGCGCTACACACGCTTGCACGTGGCCACTTACGCGATGCGATCACGAATACGATCCGTCGCGGAATCTCTGTTTTACGCGACGGTTCACGAGTTCAGTCATTTGTCTACCCCTCTTCGTCTATTTGTGCACCGCAACCGGTCGGCCGTAGCGCGTAAAGAATTTTCGACGCACGCATAAAATAATACGTGTACTAACGCGCACGAGTCTATGTGTCTGTGTATGCGTGTGCGTGTGCGTGTGTGTGCACGTGTAATATTTTTTATACGGTTAACACCGAGAGAAAAAAAAACCCCCCCAAACAATCCGAAAATATCGAAACGAGAAGAAAAAATAAGAATTTCTTAGTGTATTTTTCAAAGAATTCGCCAGATGTGAAAAACGATAGACGTTTGTGGTCTGAAAAAAAAAAGGAAAAGAAAAAAACTCGAAACGCGTCTCTCCCATTGTACAGTTATAACAAGAGCGCGCAGACTTTCTGACCCATCTGCAGTAACAACGCGGTCGACCGGTAAATTCAGTCATATGTGTACGACATACAATATTTTATTATTTTATATCGCTTCCCCTTTCTTTTTTTTTTTTTTTTCAAATTGTTTGGCCGTAGGTGTAATATAACCAAAACAACTCTACGGCAAGTCGCGTCGTTTTATTTTCACACGAGAAGAAAAATGCGAGGCGATTTCACGAGTTTCTGGTACTCCGCTCGAATGCGATTGAATTATTATCTCTCGTGCCCGATAAACGTCGAGTTTGCAGGAATCCGAAGTATCTCTCAGTTCGGACACGTCGTCAACAATAATACCTTCGGGCGTATATATATTGTAGGTATGACATAGTATCGACTTGGAGGGCCGTAAAACCAATACCGTTTGTTCGGCAGACATTGTTAGGAGGGACCCGTTCTGCAAATCACCAGTACGTAGAACGGATGTAATAATAACCGAGAACGTGCGCGTACGGTGCCCCGAAATACAAACGATTTCTACGGTCACGGAGGGCAGATGCACTGGCATCGCGCACAGAACGATGCCGCCAGGAAAAAAGGATCGACCTTGGCGGAAATAGAATGTCCGAAATTAAAACAACAACATGACGAAATGGTGAATTCCATGTGGTCCTCGACGTGAATACAACAGTGCGTTGGATCGGCTTGAAAACGTTACGGAAGGGATCGACTGCGGATATTATGAGTTGTGTACGATACGTTCGGCCGATAGCTGTGCCGCGGCCCGGGGGTCAGGAGGTCCGCGGAAACCGTTCGAATGGTTTTTGAAAATATTTCCAAAAAGAAAAACACGACGGAACGTAATCGTTTCTACACAGTGCTATTATTGTTATTATTATTACCATTATTCTCGTGTGCAGGGTCGGTATTTCTCTCGGAACTAAGAGGTGGCAGCGGCGACACATCACCGCGTCGTCGACATGACGGTGTTAACCCGCATTCCTTCGTGGTTTTCTCACTCCCTCTATTTTCCTCCTCCTTCTTTCGCTCTCTCTCTCTCTCTCTCTCTCTTTCTCTCTCTCTCCCCCTCTCCCTCTCTCTTTCGTTCGGATTCTTTCTCTTCGTTTTCGACTCTCTATACCTTAGCTCGAAATGTACTCACACAAACAGAACATATATACATGTATGTATTGTAAATTGTATGTACACACACACACACACACACACACACACACCACTATTTCCATAACAATTTCAAACGATTTTCTACACTCATTCCGTCGCTGACCTCTCTTATTATATTATTATGTGTACCATATTATAGTGACATAGTACGCGTACCTGTATATAATAATAACTGGCCAGCGTCCCCCCGCCCCGAATCGTTCCATCGAGCAACGTACGTATATATTACATTGTTGTATTGCACGTTGCGTTGACGGAATCCTGCGCGCACCGGAATTTAAGTATTTTAAGTTATTCTATTTTATCTATCGTAAACGAATCCTTAGCGAGATTTACATGCATCGATAAAAGTTAATCAGATTATATGTTAAAATAACAGAACTAAAAAAAAAAAAGAAAATATGTGTGTGTATAAAATTACAATATTTAAGTTGAACAACAAAGGATGGACGTAATTCGCCTTAGCGATTCGTTAACCAATAAAATTAATGTCATGTGGGTTATAAACTGTAATGGAGGAACGACTTACGCGTCAGGGTACCTTAAGGCTTAAAACATTATAACAATGATAAGAGTGTACATATATAGGTGCATGAGTGCATGTCTTGCAACTACACTATATATGCTTACTTATGGATATGTACTAGGTTTGTAATTAATTAATATTTATTACGCTACAGGTATCTAAATGCACGTATACAGAGTGTTATATTTGAACGTGTAGATTCGTAAAATGCATATTGTTTTTTTGTAAACGAATCTTAGCAGACATCATTGTTTTTAGGCGTTTTAGCTTTCTTTATCATTTAATTGAACTTAGAACTCAATACAGGTCATTTAACGTACATATGTTATTACGAATTTAATTTTTAGTATTTTTTTTTTATGTCGTTACAAATTTTGTGGTCGTAATTTGCAATTTAAACAAAGTTTCTCTGTGGAAAAAAAAATTAATTACCATTTAATATTACGAGAGAGTCATACGACACAAGTTATTTAAAATGTCGATGGTATTTATTAAAAAAAAAAAAAAATAGCAATACAATTCATTTTTCGTGGACAGAAAATTAATATCAATTGAAAACGAACGACTTAGTTGCTGTTTACAACAGCCATTATTGAACACCAGAACACTCGTTCCGCAGGTACCCATACGAATATATCTACTACATGCATATAGACGGAGAGCTCCAAGGGACATTATGCGTTTCGACGTCGGAATCTTGGTGAACATCCTGACGGCGGCGGCAATCGGTCTGTCGATCGTGTTCGACCGGCCGGCGGCCGTACGGGCAGCGTTGCCGTCCAAGAAAGCCGAGTCGTTTAGCGTGTGGTTCCACGCGGAGCCCAACCAACCCCGGAAAAAAGACATGAAGCCCGTCAAGCTCAACAGGCTCATCGGGTCGGATTACAATGAGATGTGGATGAGCAAAACGCCGATAATAGCGGTAAGTATTCGCATACATTACATTAATCTTGACGAGTTGGCGTAAGAACCCGCCGGTGATCGTTAAATATTGCATTTCGAACAGATCCATAGTGAATATGCTCCGGTTGAAAAATATTATTCCCATGAAGCCCACACCCTGCAGTCTGCAGTTAAAATGGCATAAACACACGATAACACAACGTGATCGCTATCGCGCGCATCATAACATCATCATTACGCTATATCGATTTCATAATAATAATAATCAAAATCGGTTTTTTTTGTTTTTTTATTTTCATTTTCGTTTGTATCGTTTTTAACGTTTTATTTTCTCATTCTGCTGAACACGCGTCTCTGTAAAAAAAAAACGAACCGTTCGTAAGCGTTTCAACGGGAATTATTAGCCTCGAATATGTGCCGTGATCTCGTGTCGTGTACACAGAATATACAAACCTATACCGTATGGTAGTACATGTTATATATATATAATACAGCACGGCGTGTAGGTACAAAGCACATGTCATATATTTTGAGTGTGTACGTTTGTGTATTTATTGTCTCGCACAATGACTCAAAGAATTTCGATAAACTCCAAAAGATCCGTTACGGCTGCTGCAGGTTTCATTGAATTTTATTTTTCATTATGTTTTCACTGAGCAGCACTAGTCCCTGCTGTATACTACGTCCTGTCCCAAAATACATTACACATATACGTATATATATATATATATCTTTGGCTTGGTGCAAGAACGGTCAATTATGACAATGTTCAGGAATAAATACATTAAATCGGCCAATTTTTAATGTATACGTAACATTTTTAAATTTAATGTAAGATATCAAAAAATGTTACTTAATTTAATTGGGTTTTAATGTTAGGCTAATTTTGTGTTTAACTTTAATAAGATTATCTCAATAATCTCAATTACGTCAAAATGAGCGATAGATTATTGACGAATTTCGTTAGTTTTGTTATGAATTATAAATTCTTGCCGTATGGATCATAAAGCATTTTATGTATTGTTGACATATGTCCCACTTTTCCTTTGTCAAATACTGATGTAATAACTACATGCACTTGTTCTGCATTTGTCCGCAATACCTTCCTGGAATCAGTGGCGTATCCAGAGGTGGGGTTAAGGGGCTACAATCTCTCTCAAAATTGTTTTGACCATTTTATATATTTTATAGGTCATACTACACATTACACATACGTTACTTATACTACAGTATACTATGAAAATTGTCTGACAAAAGTGCTTTTTTTATGAATTTTAAATATTTATCATATTATTTTATATTTTTAAAAATTTACAAAATATATACATAATTTTTCATACTGGCCTTACACTCGAAATTATATTATTTATAAATCATTGCAGATTTATCATCAAATATGGCCGCACATCATATCGATGACAGAATTTATTTGTGGTTAGGAAAATCATAAACTGTAATTTTCTTAACTTTCCGTTTCTCCCCAATAATAACAGTACTTATATGTATAGTATCCATGATACCTAGATAATAAAATTTCTGTCAATGCCAATTCACATTTCAAAAATCTTCGGTCAGCCATCTTACGTGTAGTTGTAACTTAAAAGCACTCGTTTTATTTATATTTGTGTGATTTAATCTGCATGACTATATTGTTTTTGCAAATATTGCAACGTATACTAATTAATAATTTATAATCATGAGTAAAATCTCTTAAAATAATATTTCAAATTTCTTTTCTTCGAAATCAATACAAAGTTCTAAAAAAGAAAAATAATATGACGACCAAAGTGTTGTTTTTAAAAAAATTTTGTAACCAACTAATTAATTTAGTTCGGAATTGGTAGTGTCTAATTTACTAGAAATAAATCAACCAAGCAATACAACAAATCTGATCAATTCTACTTTTGATGAAACACAAGATATTTTTTTCTATATTGGCAAACGGGTAAGCAGTTTTACTTTTTTCTGTAAATAATACATATATAGTTACTTAATTATTCAAAATCTATAGTCACAGTACCTATTATATAAAATAATTTAACAAAATTACGAAAATGTTATGTAATGGTAAAATAAATATAAAATTATTAATATTTTCAGTTGTCTCATGATTAAAAAACAACAGTCTTGGGCAGGGTTTGGGTTCCTTCATCAAATTATGAACTTCCAAAAAGTAAAAAAAATCTAAAATTTTAGGTAACGTGGACCTATGCATTTTCTGGCTTCTTTATTCAAAACTACATGATGGTGCTTTTTGTTTAACATGTGTTTTATTTCCTCCTTCAGATGGCATAGGCAAAGGTATTCATAAGTTTACAGGAAAATTAGTTGTAGAAAAGTTTGATAGTTGGAAAAAAGCTAAAGATTCATTCAAAGATCACAACAATTATCATTATCACAAATTAAGCGAAATAAAATTTGATTACTATTTTGCAATTAAAAATAAAATATTTGAACAAATTAATATTCAAATCAATGAAGCATTAAAAAAAGAAATAATAGAAAATCGAAATAATCTTCGCCCGATAGTAAAAACTATTTTATTTTGCGATCAGCAAGAAATATCTTTAAAAGGACATAGATATTCGAGACTAATTTCATTATATAAAGATGAAAATTGTAAAAAAAATAATCAAGGAAATTTTATAGTGCTTATTCGGTTGATCGCGTTCTACAAATCATTTAGAAATGTCTCATAAAAATGCTTCATACCTTAGCCCTTTGATTCAAAATGAAATTAATTAATATATAATACGTTAATTTTAAAGCAATTGGTTGATAATGTAAATAAAACTAAGAGGTTTACTATTTTGGTTGATGAAACAACAGATATTTCCAATAAATAACAAATGTCGTTATGTGTCCGTTATGTTTATGATAAAACCATTCGAGAAGAATTTTTACAATTTATAGAAATTCATGATATGTCTGGAAAAGGATTGGCCGGTATGGGGTATGGGGCAAGTTCTATGAGTGGTAGATACAATGGCGTACAAAAGTATATTCGTGATGAGCATCCTGGAGCTTGTATACTTGCATTGTTTAAATTTAGCTCTGACTTTTAATTGCGAAATTCTTGAGATTAGAAATTGTATGAGCACTATTCAAAGTATAAATAATTTTTTTGGCTATCCAAAAAGAAAAAAAGGAATTAAAATTGTCTAATTTTTCATTTTACTAATCGTTTTAAATTAAAAAATCTATGTGCTACCCGGTGGGTTAACCGCCATGATGTAGTAATTTTATTTTAAAAACTTCAACCAGCCATTATACATGATTTAACATGTATAATATATGTATAACATTTAACATTTAAAATTACACAGTAGATAGATGCAGATACTGCTAGTTCAGAAAATCACCTAATTATTGCAATAAAACAGTATAATTTTCAAACTGCTTTGCTGATATTAGTTGAAATACTTTCTATTAGTTTTCCTCTTAGTCAATTTTTACAAAAATAATTTCTCGACTTAGAAACTGCCTTAGAAGCTGCTATCACTGTTCAACAAAATAATCAACGTATTAGGGAAAATTGTGATGATGAATGTCAAAACATTTTTATTTTCGATCGAAACTATTTGTAAACAATTTGAAATAACTATGAGCTTGACACGTCAAAATAAACACCAAAATATATTGATTCAATATAGTGTCAGAAAATCTGAAATTTTTTTATAAAATAGCTATCAATTTTCGTTCCATTTTTGGGCAATTATTTGGAGCAATTAAACGATCGATTTTTAGCACAAAAGTCTATTTTGAGTAACTTTGGGTGCATTGACCCAAAAAAAAAAAAAATATATTTAAACAGTTAGTTGAAACATACCAAGAAATAATAAATTAATGTACCGATTCTTACATAAATGATAATATTTTAAATGGAGGATTAAACTTACAGTAGACAAGCCTTTCTGCAGCTAATGAAGAAAAAATAAATTTCATTGATCTTTATTTTTCTATAAATCCAGAAGTATATCAAATTATATCAAAACTTCTTCAAATTGTTGTAATACTACCGATATCGAATGCAACAGGAGAACGATCATTCTCGACAGTACGCTGTTTAAAAACCTATTTAAGAAATTCTACTATTCAAAACTATTTGAATGTTTTAGCCTTAATGAATATCCATCATGACATTAAAGTGACTACTAATGACATCATCAATGAATTGGCAAAAACATCCACAAGAAAACTTAAAATAAATTAATAAATATAACAAAAATTAATATTTTTGTAAAATAAAGTCTTGACTGTTTATTTCACTAAATAAATTAAGAAATTACCTACATACCATGTTAATTTAATATTTTTATAGTATGTGTAAATTATATATATATATTGTATATTCGGGTAGAAGTAATGCTTCTGCAATATCCACCCGGTTCACGATTTATACCAGGAAATAAATAAAGCGTATACAAATATAGATAGTGAATTTGTGTAATCACCCCCAACTCTCCCTCAAAAAAAAAGATCCTGGATATGCCACTGCCTTGAAGTGAGTGCATTTTTTTTCGGTTAATATTTAAAAACAAGTGTAATATTTTATAAATTATTAGCAATTTAAATTTAAATGTGTATACAATCATTTATTTATTACAAAAATTGATGTCTTATTTTATTTTTGTATTAACAAACCAAAAAGGTAAAGGCATTCTAGCGTGGGGAGTGCCCACGTGAACACAACTCTGATATTTCAACGTACCGTAAATGTAAAATAATACATCCGTTTTAGCTTCTTGTCGAAGATCAAAAGATATTGATTTTATGTCTGTTTTTATTGTTTCTTTTAACGTATGTGTCCGGACACTTTCCATAGATAATATCTTAACGATTTCGTCTGATTTTTATGGTTCGATTTGTTGTATATATATATTTATGCACACATAAAACCGTTCGTAAGCAATGGTCTTTGTTACCTATTCAAGAATTCACTTTGAAATTTCACACTACGAGTAATGAAATGAATCACGAAAACTATCACAAATTATTTCCAAAGAATTAGATGATATTTAAACTATTATTCTATACATATTATTATACGATTGGTAGAGTTGACATAGCTGACGACCATAAAGTGCAGGATACATAAATTTTAGTTTTAAGTATGTGTTCCTGTTGAACTTCCCCAAAATAATCGTATCAAAATCATTAAACGATTGTATAACATACGCATTGTTATCGTTGACGAGTATATAAAGGGAGGCAACGGATTGTAATTATTTGGTTTTTTTTTTTCATTTATTCCGATGCGCAGGCAGCGGAAAACGATACGGGTGCGTTCAATGACAGGTCGAAGACGATAAGACCAGACAACCTCGAACTTCCGGAACAACTTCCTGTGCAATACCAAGAGATGATGCGCACGTGGTTGGTGAACAGAGGCTCGTGTCCAGTCGAATACGTGTGGATTGACTTGGGAAAGTCATTTTGGCCAAGATGGATAAAAAAGGGTAGATGTGGTCGATCTGAAATGATGAGTTGCAGTTGGCCGCCCGGCATGTCATGCATGCCCTCGTCCATCAGAGTCCTTAACCTGTTGCGATGGCACTGTTGGTAAGTAACCGCCATGAACGCAGTGCGGAACACATTTTTTTCTTTTCTTTTTTTTTTTCTGGGCATTTAACTGTGAGGAAAATAATAAGGATTGTATTTACATATTTTATTATGGTAGAATTATATTACACTGATAAAAATAATGATAGATATAGCGGAAATTGAAATCAAACGGTACTCCTTACGTTTGAAAACCGTAAATTCTCGTGGGACCGTACACACAATCATGCAATAACAATGAATCCATAGTCACTTATAACTGCAAAGCGTTCACATCATCGAGCCGATGTTTTTTCTCGAGTCTTTTACAAAACGTTTTACAAGTTATCCAGCAGGTGAACTGGTCTCATTGTTATCATTAAGAATCGCACGTTGTTTTCAGGTTGAAAAACAGGAAAAATAAAAGAAAACAGCGGGGTAAGAAAATGATGGAATCAGTGGTTGACGACGAGACAACCGGACGAGCGCAGAGAGGCAGGAGATCGAGCAATAGAAAACAAAAGAAGAAGGATAACAAGTTCAGATGTCTTTGGATCAAAGTACCGTATCCGGTGACCGAAGACTGTACGTGCTCGTGTAGAAAATTCGACGAATAGTCTTTACAGCATACACACACACACACACACACACACACACACATATAAATATATATTTACCTCGAAAACATGTCATTATACCTATACGAGTTGAATGAATCGTTTAGTGTTACGTTCTTGAATAAAACTGTAAGTACATTAAAATAATGCTAAATGCAGTATTGGCATTATTAACTCGTTATCAGTACTATACATTTGTATCGATAACACTATTGTAAAATAGATTTTTTTTTTTAAAAATTACATGGTTTTTATAATTAAAATTTGATTAAAAATAAATATATATAAATTATGATAAAAAAAATATAAAATAAAATATACGATAAATAATCTATTAAATTAACTTTTATGTACTTTAATTTACCTGCTAATTAAATAACATAATTAGGTATATAATCATTAATTACAAACATATGATCGATACTTTTCTTGATTATTACACACTTAACAAGAGTCGAAAATGAAATTATAGAAACTAGTGATAAGAGACTAGTTTCTATAATTTTGTATAGAATTTAGCGGCCGAAGGGGACCAAGGGGTGACCAAGACAAATTTAGACGATGCCGTGGCCCGCTCAGGCTCCCCTGGCACCGCCATTGCTATTATTTTTTTTTTCGTGTCAGGCCACTTAACATTTATAAAATATAAATCATTAAGTTAAAAATTAAAAATTAAAAAATATTAATAAGTTATAACTAGTCAACATCAATTATATAAACAAAATAAAATAAAACATAAATAGTAAACATTTGCCATTGCTATTGTAATAGTCAAGTGAAACACATCACGTTTGTTTTTCATTACTATATTTCATGTGAATACATTTGACTGGATATAAAGTGACCGACGTCGTAAGCTGGTGTCTTGCAGCAACGCTCATTCGTGTTCATAGTACGTGCTCGAGAAATACCCGCGACCTGAAGCAACTGACCCATAGTATATTTTAATACAGCGGTTCCCAACCCCCATGGGCCACGGCCCCACAAGTGGTAAGGATGGTACTGGGCCGTGAACCATATTATATGAACATTAATTACATTTATTTTTAAAATATTTAATATCAGCAAGTGAAGAAGATTCGTTGATTGAACTTTCATGTGATCAGACTCTAAAATCATTCTTTAAAACTACACCATTATTACCATTCTAATTAAATATTCGGCAAGAATTTCCAACAATCTCTAAAATCGCGCTTAGAAACTTGATGGGTAACCTTTCGACAACCTGTGTGTCTGTGTAAACGAGCTTTTTCTACTTTAATTTTTTTTAAACTGAATTTGAATTTTGAAAGTGATTTAAGGCTAAAACTTTTCAGTTTCAATCCGGATATTGATTCTCTCGTGGGGAAAAATCAAAAATCACATTAAATTATTTAATTCTTGAATAATTTGGTTCAATAGTTTTTTTTTTTTTATAAACATTTGTTTTTTAATAAATAAATTATGATATAACTGACGTATATGCACATTATACATATATAACTATTGATGGGTCTCAAAGATTTTCTACAAAATTGGTGGTCCGCACTACTAAAAGGGTTTGGAACCGCTGTTTTAATATACAAAGTACGTGACACTAGTGCCCCCCAGTGATAATTGAATGCTACCTAGTGGCGGGTGATCGTGCCACTGACCAACACGTTCCCATAACGACCGTAGTGACAGGTGTTGATTTCCCTGTACGTAGAAGAACTATGAAAACTTCGATGGTAAACAATTCGATTGAAGTGCCACTCACTGAAAATTACTTAAAATATGTTCTTAACTGCTCCTCCCCCCCCCCCAGTTGCCTCTGGGGTAACTGCGCCAATGGTCTGTTATTAACAATATGTTTCGTCGTTCGAACCGTCTCTCGAAATCCGTGTGAAGGTGTAACTATCCAAAACGAAATGTCGTAAAACAATAACACCGTTAGTATTGTACTCGTATTGTCGCAATGTTGGTATTCGTATCGAGAAAATAAGCGCCCGTGAATTTGTCATGATGCAGCGAAACGTACACGTCTGTTCGGTAATTTTTCACGGGGTATGGAGACGTTAAAAGGTTTTGAAAACCGTCGGCAATACGTTCAATACGTTCGGTACAGCTGACAGATGTTCTTATTCGAATCAATCGATTCGTACCGGTGCACAGACATGTTCTCATCTGCTATCGATAAGCTTGCAAAACTTGTACTTGAGGGGGGGGGGGAATCGTCTTTTTTAAAATGTTTTTCCTATGACTTTCCACGTATTATCCGTTCTGTAAATCGGTCGATACGATGTTTGACCACTGATCAAAAGCAGCAATAAAATATTGTGTTTTACGCGGTTTGATATCGGGTACATGTTTTGGTATACAATAAAACTTTACCGAAACATAACAATCGATCGGTCGATTGACAACTTAACAACGAGCGGCGATGAGAAAATTGTTTTTACGAAATTATAATATTGAATACCATAAACGCTGATTACGATAGATGACTGTCGACGAAAATATCAGAGTCCGAAGAAAATTGCGTATACGTAATAATGTATACGGGTGTAAAATGATCTACAGTCATTTGATTAAAACTAAATAAAAATGAAGTACCGAATTGAAATATTTTTTGTTAAATTCTTGATATGGTTCAGTTCATAGGCGGTACTACGAGAGGGGCAAGGTAGGCGGCTGCCCTCCCTGCGAGTTCTTACTCTCTCTACTCATTTCAAATATTGGTTGGTAACCCCTCATATTACATGCTTATTTAGAGTCTACATGGTTGTAAGTAATAATATTATTATATACAACCGTGGGAACCATTCATGTAAATATGCTGATAAGATTTTTTGCATCGACATTTTCAATATTATTTTAATTTATTTTTATCATTGAGAAAATCATGAATCAATATTATTACTTAATTATTATCCGTATCACAAACGTTTTGTATGATTTTATACTTTGATTTGAAGTGTGTATTTTATTTAGTATTCTTGAGTTTTTTGGATAATACTAATTATAATAAAAATTATGAACACAAACAAAGTAAAAAAATAAAAATTTTATATGACTTTTTCATACAAGAACCATCATAGGCGGCTCTACGGGGTGTGCCGGGTATGCCTTGGCACACCCTAATGTAAATAATGCGAATAAAAAAATTGAATAATTACAATTGAGAATATATGTGCATACACATTAATTAAATTTTAGTTTTCTGTAAGTAATATTGCAAGAGTTCAGAATAAATCTGAAATAATAATTACGTGTATACTTTATCAATCGTTATTTTTCATCATTAACGAAGCCTTTATTTTTAGAATTTAAATCATAACACAGTCAACACGTACATGCTTATAGTCTCCCCTTTATATTTTGAAAGAATAACCAAAAAATGACAGGGTACACTCAAATGTATCACTCTGGGTCCGCTTATGAGAACCATCACAGGTAAATTGTGGTAACTTATTATTTTAAAATTGTATAAGATAAAATAATATAAATGTATATAATATAATATAATATAAATGTAGGTATCTGTAAGTGTATTATTCATTTTATAAAATAATCTTATTTGAAATAAGTTAAAATAGTTATCAATAAAATACTTTTTTTATAGTATTGCTAGTCTAAAGATTTAGACGAAATAATGTTAATATTTTACTTAAAGTATTTTCTGCCCCCCCCCCCCTGCCAAGAAGGTCTAGTACCGCCTATGGTTCAGTTTACTGTTGGTATTCAATTGATAAATCATAAGTATAATTTGAACAGAATCAGCGAAAAATCTACCTTTGTGTGTCCCTTTTAACACTTTTTATTAGACTTTTTTTAACAAAAGCGTTCCATGTATTGCATTGCAATTAATTGTATATTCATTATCTATAGTATAATAATTATAATAATTATAATTATATAATGTATTTGTAGATATTTGTGAATTAAAGATACTTTTGTAAATTACTTTTGCAGACCATTCCATTCGGTCATCAACAGTTATTTATTTACTGCGTTACCTTACCGATACAACAATAAAATAATAATTACAAATCTTATATCCTAATACAACCAAAAATGTGCGCTCGATTGGAAAATTATGTACACATATAAGTGGTTATTTATTTTATTTTTTTTTATTTATATTTTTAAAAAGCTCTACAAATTGTTTGAAGACAAAACTACAACTCAAGATCATAATTCATAACTGGGTTTAGGGAGTTATAGCTCTAAAAAATACACAAATATGCTTCTAAAATCATTAAAATATGCATTATAATATGCATTTATATGCCTTAAAAAAAAAAAAAAAAAAGATCAGACAGTACACAAAATAAAACGTGTCCATCGGATTTAAATATATTTTTAAACTCCGAAACAAAACTTTGTAGTCAGCTACTCGTAAACTGTTGTACTTTCGGCATAACACGATGTTACAAATTATTGCGTATGACGTTTTACGTATGATTCGACGTTGTGCGGTTGCGAGACGCAAAAACGACTGATAATAATCAACTTAACTGAACATTAAACATTATTATATTCTGTGACTAAACAAATAATCTATTATTCTATATCGACTTTTATCTTTATCAACATCCGGTCAATATCCAACGGGTTATATGGTCGATACGAATTTATAGTATTATTTATATTTACACAAAAATTATAACGAGATATGAGAGGCAGTTTGCAGATATCATATTACTGAAAGTATTAAGTCCTCTTAGTACATTTTTTTTTCGATCGGTTGAAATATGTATATATAGTTTTTAATTTTAAATAATAAAATTTGAGAAATTTGTCAAAATATGCAAAATAAACATAATAATGTTAAAATAAGCACTCTCCTGCAAAATCTATCAAATATGCAAAAATATGCACACTCAAATTTTAGATCTGATATCATGGCATCGAGGAACAAATTTATTTCGCACTCTGCTATATTTAACAATAATTAAAAAAAGTATGCAAATGTTTAAAGTCCCTAAGCTTATTCATAACTATTCTAAGAAATTTAAGAACTTAGTATCAATACATACGAAATGGACATTTATTTATTTCCATAAATTAAATACACTTATGTATAAATATCAAACAAAATATATCAATTTTATTCTAGTACATTCTGTGATAACTAGTTCTATGTATTTTTATGTAATACATTTGGTAATAATTCAATTTACATAAAAAAGTAACATCGTTTAGCATACTACTGACACAGGACTACAGGTGTAAGTTTTATGTTAACGGTAACATATATTTTTTTTAATGGATAACAATAATATATCAATAGGGTTCAGAACTTATTGCACACAAACTATAGGAAATATACACTTAAAATAACCGAAATACGTGCAAAAACATGCAACTGAATACTTTTTTAATGACAATTAAGAAATGTGATTTATTCATTTAAATTTAAAAAAAAAATTTTTATCAGCATTTTTTTACAACAATAAGACTATAAATATTATATTATTGTGTATGTTCAATTTGATTTTCTTCATTTTCTCCTACAATGAAAAATACAAGCTGAATACTAATTTTCCTTTTAGATTCTCTAAATGATTAACGGTAACCGATAGAAAACGCAGGAACAATTAGATATTTTCCTAATTGACCTATCCTGACTCATTCTATGATTAGGTATATTGAACAATGCATGATGATAGTAAAAAAAAAAAAATAATGTTGGCGAAATATGCGAAAACGTGCAATTAAAATGTTGTATTTTAATCCGTTATGATTTAAAAATAAATGTATATATTATTTAAACTATTCTACAAATCATTATTAAACAATATGTAAATGCAACAAGTCCTGGATCCTATTTATTATGAATTCAATAATTCAATACAGATGTACCAAAAAAAGCACAATTTACTTTATGTACAATTTATTACACAAAACATATTTACATGCATTTGAAAGTAAGTGAATCATAAATACAAACTATAATAATGGTTCTTTTAATCATAAGACTGTAAGACGGTTATAGCACATCAGAATTAGTTATAGTTTCAATGATAAGGGCGACAACAAAATTGATTTATGAATGTACTGTATCTGTCAAGATGATCAAAATTATTTTTATTTTATTTCATTTACTTTATAGGCACTTATTTTTACTAATTTCTATACTTCCAATCACAGTTCATATAAAATATGAAGAGGAGTAGTAATCCATTTAAAACTGTTATAATAATACGTTTAGTATATTGCCTACATAACTATTACAATTGTTATGTAGGCAATGCACTAATTGAGTGAACATGTATACATTTATTCAACTATTCAACAGTGTGCACCGGTAGATAATTATTTTGTTCTACTTAAATTTTAAAAATGGTACATACGAGATCTAATCAAAAGTATCGAGACTGATAAGATTAATCGTAAACCGGTTTGAGTATGAACTTGCAAATGCTATATTAATCTAACTTTATATGTTGGGAAAATAGTTTATCTCAGTCAGCTTCTAGGTGCGATTATGTAAAATGTGTTTTTACGTCCTGTCGGATTTCATTATTAGCGAAAATATAGAACAACGAGTGTGCATTAAAGTTCACCGTACACTGGGAAAATCAACTACTGAAATCTACCAAATGTTATAGTTAGCTCATGGAGATAAAATCATGTCCCGTGCTCGCGTTTTCTAATGATTTTGAAGATTTAAAGAGGGTAGAACAACTGTTGAAAGAGGTGAACGTGAAGGAAGCCGTCAATAAGCCGCAATGAGAAAATGATCCAAAAAGTACGAACAGCAATACGAGGTAACCGTCGTTTGTGAATCATAGAACTTAGTAATGAGTTCTAAATCTCATTTGGATCAGTTCAAATCATATTGACGACTGATTTAACTATGAGAAGAATTGCAGCCAAATTTGTTCCAAAACTGCTTTGCATCACATTAATGCACCAGCCGATTCAGCCCATACTGTGCAGCAGTTTTTGGCCAAATATGATATCACAGTTGTTTCTCAACCCTCCTATTCACCAGACCTAGCTCCATGTGATTTTTTTTTATTCCCAAAGATAAAAATGGCGCTTAAGGGTAAACATTTTCAAGATGTAAATGAATAAAACAAAATGTGACAGAGCATGCAGCTACGAGAAGTTTCTAAAAATGAATTTCAGAGATGTGATAAAAATGGCAGGAATTTTGGAGAACATCTATAAACTTAAAAGGAGCACATTTTGAAGGAGATGAAATTTAAACAACTTTGTCTAATAAATTTGTATATTTTTTTTTAACAGTCTCGTTACTTTTTGATTAGACCTTGTAATTTAAGTTAGGTACATTATCATTTTATAAATTGCATAAAACGTGTAAGTTCACATTAAAGAAATTAAAAGTTTATTGGTACTTAGAAAAAAAACTTTGTGTTTTTGAGAATTTTTTGAGAATTTTCATAAAGACCATAAGTCAACAAATCAGGTTAATATTAATTATACAACAATCAATTTAGTTGAGGAAAGTAGTTTGTAACCAGAACATTGGTCTATTGTATGCAGAATATTTGTAAATAATTATAATAAATGTGTAATGAACTCTTCCATTTTTCATTGAAGCAGAATTACAACACAATATTATCTAAAAACTATTTGGTGAATTTTAAAGAACTTCACAAGATACAATCAAAGTTATGAAGAAATTTACAAAACAAGATATATCAGAATGGTATCTTTATGATATATGAAATCAAGTGAACAATACTAGCCACATATTAAAAAAAAAAAATTATTTGAAAATTATCAGTGTCTTAAATATTTAAATTAATGAATCATAACAATTTGTCAAATATTTTCATGCACAATAATGTTTTTGATATGCGTTAAAGTGTTTTATTTAAGTGCACTCTCTTAAAGCTATTTGATATATTCATAACTAATTAATTTTCGCAACAAATTATGGTAAACAAATCACAATATTATAATTTACATAGAAATATTTTTTTCTCCTAACAGTCTTAACAGTTTTAAATACATTGAATTACATATACAATATTATTTACGAACAGTTATAACGATAATGATACACAATAAAGTACAATATTATATGAAATAAAAAATACAATAGATACATGTTTGTTTACATAATTCATTTATTTAATTATTAAACTCTATAATCAGTCTTGATCTTATATAATATTAACATGAGAAAGCAAATATTTAAGCTGAACGTTATAATATATAACTTTGTGTCTAACTCTAAAGGTTTATTTAACATATTAATAACCCTCAAATAATTTTGTTTCAGACATTTTTATTTTCCATACTGTTTATCACCAGGGCTCACAATTAATAGCATTAAAATGAACTGAAATGTGTGCTGAACTATGACCTTAATAATCTTAAAAAAATCACAATAACATAACCTCTAAAAGTATGAAAAATATCAACAAAAACGTATCTATACATTTTAATGATTTTCTTCTTCTGTGAACAATTTAAAGATATTTATACATCTTAATTAATAACTATTAATGAATTCATACATTAATAAAAATAAAAATATCTTAAACTAGCTAGACATACAACCTTTTCTTTTAATTTTAATTTTAGTTATAAGAATTATGACAAACACTGAGTAAATACAATTAAATGTATATTAGTAAAAAAAAAAAAAGTAATAATAATAATAATAATAATAACACAAAACCTGGAGGAACGATATTTCAAAAATAAAATGTCAGATTTAAAATCTTGAAACAAATTTATAGGTTTCTTGATTATTTTTGTCAGTTTTTTTTTTTTAAATATTAGAAATTTCTATAGAACTTGAGCCCTGTTAAATGTATTTAAAAAAAGGTATGCAGTACTTATAAGTATCAGTAGAATATTGTTAGCAATACTAAACAGTGCACGAGTAAAAATGTTTAAAAGATAGATTTTTAAAAGTAATGATATTTTTTTCTGAAAACAATTATGAATCATTTTAATACAAAACAAATTAAACATTTAGTTCCTTATTTGTTAATTATAATTGACATGGTATATTATTATGAAGTATGGAAGAATAAAAAAAAGAAGTAGATCCAATTTTAAGCGTACAAACAGAATCTGAAGTATGTTTCTTTATAAAATAGATATTGGCAATTGAAAAAATAATGGTTTAATGACTAAAATTTAACTCAGTTGAGTAATCATATTCAAGAATAACATAATTTTTAAGGTTTAAATCTGTAATTTATGTTATTTAAATTTGTAAATGAATAAAGTTTAAATACATAACAATACTATCATACTCGAACTAACAATATACAAAAGCTTTTTGTTTGTAGTCTACTTATGAGTTACTCTTATGAGTTTTCGATTTATCTTCGTCGTCGCTATCACAATTCAAAGTTATATCTTGAAGTTTTCTTTTTCGTTTCTTCATCACTCTTGCATGCTTCTTTGAAGTCAAGTGAATGTTGTATTGTATATCATCTGAAAGAAAATCAAAACGTATAGAAATCGAAACATCAAGTGTATATTATAGAATTAAACTTTATAAAACCAATTGACTCGGAATCACTCGAACGACGGTATTCATTCGGAAACGTTTGAAATGTAGACCGACAAAAAATATGTGACGCTTTAATCAACTTCATTTCAAGATGAAAAATATTACAAGTAAATATATCCGAGAAAAAAAATTGATTTAATATTCCACTCGGAATCATCTTGAATAAACGTTTGTATCCACAAGCGCAAGAACGTTACGGCTAAAGTAAATAGACAGAAAGCTGTCGACAAGAATTTAACGTATTCGGTTAATGCATTTGTAAGGAAATATAAATATGAAAATATGAATTGCACGTTTAGCAGTCAGTTTTGGGTTTAGGTATCGAGACTGTTCTCCGTGTTATGCGTGCACGGTGAGTATGGATAAAACGGTTTCAGCGTGACGACTGATGGATGAATCATGCGATGGTCAAAAGGCCAAGTGTTGTAACCCACGAAAACGTAATTGCACAAGAGAAACTTTAAACGTGTTATTTACCTACATAACCGTTTTCGATTGTATTTATTTATTCTACGATACCCGGTGAATCGGTTATTTTACGAATCAAAAGTTTATAACGAGGTTGTTTATTACATCGTCACATTTGTTTAGCTTTAATCCCGTTATCGACGAAAACGAGGGTTACGACGACTTGCCTTTCGACCATCGACAATACCGATAGTCGCACAATCATTTATCAAGTACAAGCCTGGATTAAGAAGCGGCCAGAGAAGACCATAGCCCCGGGCCCACAATGGATATCAAACAATAGTGGGCCCTTAGCGGATAATAGGTTTTTTTTTATCGTTTTTTAACGCTTTTTTTTTAGCTCGCATAAAAACATATATAGAACGAGCGATTCTCAAAAAAATTTAAATAGTTTTATGGTTTTGTGTTCAGAGGGTGATGTTTTGGAGGTAATTAATTCCGATGTTATAATTAAATAGTTTACTTCCCAAAAAGCAAGAAAAAAGTATTTATACAAGTAACATTTTTATTTTTTGTACTTAAAAAATCAAGAAATAAATTTATAAATTAGAATATAATTTTTTTTGTCTCTGAAATATATTTATGTGTGGGTCATCAATATTTTGATTATGGTTAAGGGCCTCTAAAATTACTTGGCCCCGGACCCCAAATTATCATAATCCGGGCTTGATCAAGTATATCTATTAAGTGACGACCCCGAAGGATAATTATTTGGTAGATTGTAGATATCGGTATAAGCGAACGGTCCTAACTGGTGTTCGGGACACTTACTGGAAAACAGTCTGGAACAATCGTTGCAGTAATAATCTCCATACACGGGCAAGGCAACGTTCTTCTGCTCGGTAATTTCCATTGGCTTCAACGTGCTCTCCGTGCGAGGCTTTCGGCCCAACACGACTTTGGCCAGATCCACTGCCTGGTCGGTCAACCGTTGCCAGTCCGCGAGGTCAGTGCAGTCCAGTCGGTACACCGAGACAGCCTGCGGAAACGACAAGGGTTTAACACGGTTTCGGAATGTCTTCCACCGGACATGCGTACGAAGATTTCGCGACGCGGACGCGGTTAGTAAACGTCAAACTTATAATACGATCAACATAAACATGTCGACATAAGTATTCGGTCGGCGGGAGAAAAATTGATCGAATAGCAAACAAGTGTGTATACTTTAACGTTTTCATTTTTTTTTCGTTTTTCAATTAATTCTTGCGTTCAGCACATGCGCAAACAACACAATTCGTGTACGATTTAACGATCTACATGAAAAATTACGATTTATTTTGAAATCGAAATCGCAATCAATACAAAGACTATGAGATACTTTAAACACGCCAATATCAAACGATTTGAATTTATTTAATTTAAAAGCCTCTACGGTAATCGAGATTGTAAAAATATAATATAAACGTGTGTAAAATATAACTGACCTAACAATTTGCGCACGTTTAAAAAAAAAAAAAAAAACATGCACCCCGAAGAGAGGGAGATTTATTGGTAAGCCACGTTTTGTGACATTTATGAAACCCACATCCCCATCTGTAACCGTTTGATGCGGAAAGCGTCTGGTCTGTCACCTGTTTGTCACCGGATTTGAGAAAACGGTTGTTTATCCATCGCATCTGACGCCTCGCGTATTTTTTGGTCACGTACTTCATGGCGGTTAGAGCGTCTTCCAGGGCCTTGCGACCCTTCTCCGTGCGACGACTGTCCTCCGACAGCTCCAGGTACTGCTGGAACTGTTTCACGCCGATGCACTGTAGCACGCCTTTCGTAAAGTCCAAACGAAAACTACACAAAGGCACGATAAATCATAAGACCAACAGTAAATAAATAATGAATAAAAACTACGGTCACGTTGTGTACTCGACACTCATTACCGGGACGTTATGGATAATGTGTCGGGAAAATGTGCAATAATGTTTCTAAAATGAAAAATAGAACCGATAATAATAATAATAATTGCTAAAAACCTGTTTTGCGCCACGAGCGGAATACGAATATGTACCGTATATACATAATTTACTGTAAATAAAAAAAAGTTTTCTCTGCGTACACAACACGTATAAGTACACCAGCTGCTGCCACCACCACTGCTGTGTATGAGCACACGTACTTGCCGCGATACATAATGGATATATCCAATAAATCGCTTTTTTAAAACACTTATTGTAATATATATATACACGGGTACCAATATAATATTTGTTATGTTATTTATTTTTTATACTTTGTGCTATGACAGTAGAACTATTTATTTGACTTATTGTATGTGTATTTCTGACGACGAGAACATGAAAATCCATCATTTCACCTGAAGGGTTTTACCGCTATTACGGCGTAATAACTCACAAATGTAATAATTAATTTTACAGTCAAATCCGTACAGTGTCGTGGTGTTCGGAAATAATAAATCGTGCATCGAATGGTTTTCGTTTCTGAATAAGTTACACATAATCAGAAGAATGTACTATTACTATACTCATTTGAAAAATGAATAATAACAAAACGCACGGACTTTGAATTGCAGATGATAAAAATAATCTGTATGGAAAATCAAATATATCGAATGAAAAAAAAAAATATCCTAATCAAATATAAGAATTTAACTGTAAGGGAGGACCACAAATATTTGTTCATAAAATTATTCATACAATAAGTCATAAGAAATGGGATTTTTTCCCCTAGAATATCTGAAGTCATCAGAAAATCATTAAAATTAGTAACCACTAGTACTGATAACCTCAACAACCTTTACCTATAATCATTCACTAATTTTTCGATTCCGCTCATAGGTTGCGCCCTTGTATTTTTATCTAACCAAATTCTAGTCACGAGAAATTACTTGAAGCTGGAGAAATTAATTGGACAACCTTTTGTACAGATGTTCTAGTTTTCTTAACTGAACTCACAAACAGAATAACTGACTTCGCTGTTTCAAATTACACGGTTAGTGCACGACCCCACGGTTCTCAGTTCAACCAAGGGATGGACACAACACGGCGGCAACGAAATCAGCGGCCATTTTAATTGAGGTACTTTTGTTATCAAATTATAATCAGTACTGGGTACCAATAAGTTTTTACTTGTAGATCGTTTTTTAGATAGTATGCCTACTATAATACAGGTCCATGTGCAGGATTTCAGAATGGGAAGCGTTTAAAAAAAAAAATGTATAAAATAGATTCATCGATGATTAAATAGTATTATACAGGTATTTATATAAATTTTTTAAGCATATTAAAAACGTTAATATCGATATAATACTATAAAATGCAAATAATTGTTGTAGTAAATTTACAAATACAATTTTAATACATTTACAAAAACACAATTTATATTTTTTTGGTAATGATGGGAGGTTGGGGGTTAACCCATGGTCATACCATAGTATAAGACTTATAAGCCCCCCAAATCTCAAACTCTTATTGCACCTTATACCTTGAAAAATAATACTACTATTAGTAACATTTGAAAATGCGCAGTAGCTTATAAAGAATATTACTACCGTTTCATGATGGAATAAAATGTTACTAACTTCCTACTGTATCTCAAATAAAATGGCTGACTGATTTCATTATTGTCCTATGCTGCTCATGTAATTTGTTATCAGTGTTCATTCTGTTTTATTCTGTGGTTCAACAGTCACTGTTTCCTGTTTCCCCGCAAATCAGCTGGAAACGATTTGAAATCAAAGTCCAACCATAAATGGAAAAATTGTTATGGGAATTTGTAACATAAGAACGATAAAAATCACCTCGCGCGTTCGAGCGATCGAAGCCGTTACTATACAGTTTTTGGTACGTACCCCATGCCCCGGTGAACAGTGTTTACATGGTCGGACACGTGTATAAGCAAATACGAGTATAAAAGGAGTCTTAAAATAACGATCGCGTAGACATAACATCGTGTTTGTCCATATCGTTAATGTAAGAGTAAAAGATTCAATGTAAGTAAGATAATAAAGTAAGATAAAGTATGATAAAATAATAAATCTTCTCGGGCATAAGCATCCAGTTTCACGCAATTGATTAAAGGGTTTTCAATTTTGACCACACGCACACACACGCGCGCACATACAAAAGTTTTAAATACACGTACGATTTAGGCGTTGTTGAAGCACGACAAGCGTGAAATTTCGTATTTAATATGTTAGCTTGGTACGAAACAATATTTTTGCATGGCAAATTATCGATTCACGGTTTTTATTTTAATTTAAGTGAATTTTAAAACTAGTCAATGGCGTATTTTCAAATGTTTTATGGGAGAGTGAGGGTTAAATTAAAATAAGACTAATTTAGTCTTAATTATTATTAACAACCACATTATATAAATTAATGTTCTCTTTCTCTGAAACTTCATAGCAAGTCATTTATGATTTTGTACCTTTTTTCTTCTGGAGGGGGGCAGAATCGAAATCCAGGAACTTTCCCTGCCCATGAAAATTTGTCACTGGTTATTATTATCGTTATTAATATTTGGTGGCACGTAGAAAACACGTCGTTTCAGTGGTAAAATAACTTGCCACCCAAATTTCTATATCATGTTTGAGTCTTGGCGTTATTCACAAGGTCATTTAAGAATGCATTTTCTTGATTATTCTTCAACAAGAAATATTCGTTTTTACTATCGAACTTATGAGTTTATTTATTACCCTGAGAAAATATATAATACGACATTCATGATTGGTTTTAATGGAAGTTTTTCCTGTTGTATATTTGCGGCGAAACACAACAATAACGCCGTATAATCGTAAATCTAACCCAACGAAGAGCGTTAATATATTCGGCGGTAAACTGTAAGTTTCGAGTTGTCGGACACAAAAGACTTATGCATGTTGTGCAACTATATCGTGTACACATCTTACGAACACATTCAATAGTTGTTCACTACGTACGACGGATCGACTTACTGTTTCGTACCAGTTGATTTAACCAGTTGGTTTTTGAACTCACAAAGTTCGCCGACCAGTCCTCTCTTAACCATTTCGTCCGTGCGTTTTTCCAAACGATTGTTTAAAACGTCCTGGAAAAAAAATGTGTTCTACTATAAATACATAATGCACAAATAGGTTATTCGACAAGGATCACGAGTATCGGGGGAGGGGGGAGGTCACAGAAGAAAAAAAATACGAGATTTTTGTACGCGAGACTTTTCTCTCTTCGCGCAGACACAATCATTATTATCACCGACCTCCGGAGTCATTGAACCAGTTATTATATTATTTCCTATACAAAAACATACACACATACACCCACCACCACCACCACCACCACCGTAAATGATTAACTGCCCCGGCAACTAAAGCCCGGCGTTTGCATTATTCATTTGGAGCACATACTTTCACGGTTAATCCGCTCGTTATCTACTTATTATATACGGAAACGGACGGCGTGCTTTCACTGTAAACAAGTATATATAAAGTGCACGGCGGCGAACGCGATATTCCGTAGAGGTAGGTACGAGATGTTTTATTACTTTATACATTATACAGCATGTCTACACGCGTGTAATAACCGTACGAGGACTTAAAGTCCGACCACGAACACATTTTGTCCAAAGGAAATTTCCTCGGATAAGTTTGATTTCCGCCACGTCGGACGAGGAAGAAACAAACGATATTTGATGTACACGTATAACGAATTACGAATTACCTATCATCCTGAAATGTCGGTAGATGTTTTTTAATTGTCTGTATCGTCTCAGAAACCGGGATCGGGCAAAACATATTGTAAAGAAATAATTTTTTTATATCTGTAACCAATACAAATGTACGTACATACACGGTATGCGTGTTGTACATAGAGGAAAAAATTATGATCCAACATCAATTATAGTTTAACGTTTGGACAATAAGCCCCCGTCGAGTCAACACGTTTTCAATGCGAATAAACAAACGAACCCGGTGTCGAACAAACATTTATTTTAAAATCAAAATCGAACGTGTATATTGTTCACATCACTATTATTTTCCGAGAAGAATAACACGCTCTGACGAGGCCAAAACGACGGATCGCAAACACTCATGGTGCGTGTATATCACATCAATTGTTCGCACGTTATACGACTTAATTGACATCGGACAGTATGTCTATGGGCGCGAATACGATTTTTTTTTTTTTAACAACTAATTTTATTCGTGTACGTGCAAATTTACTTTCGTCGCTTTGCGTCGTCGTCGTTTAGCTTTTACCGGTGTTGACTAAATATATACCGCGGAATAATAATATGTATACTTAAGTCATAACGATTCGTCATCTCAAAACGGGTTTTCTATTATATGTGTAATACAATTGTAACCGAACATCATTAGGTTCATTAATTAATAGCGGGCTAGTCGAATGGGTGCTACGGAAAGCATTTTCATTCGTATTGAACACGGACGTTATGTTTTTCGTCTTTTACCTATTTACTCTCGGTTAAATGAATGAGTGCCTGCAATCACAAATACAAATGACCGGAAATTTTATTAAAAATAAAAAAAGTGTCTTTACGGTAAGAGATAAATATTTTAGTTAGAGGACCTTATACTGAAATGGGATTTTCGAGAAATCTAAGGTAGTATCAACATACACAGTTCCAGAATTTTTTACCAGGACGGTAAGCGCATGCGTAATATGATTTACTTTCTTTTTTTTTTTTTTAATGGCAATAACCATTTTTTTCGAGTAGATTATTTTTTTAAACAATTTTCTGAATTATTGAAAAACTTGATTAAACTGGTTTTAACGAAATTTTAATTATGTTTAATACCTGAAATCGAAATATCATCTCCGATATCTTCAACTACCGGTTCGTTGGCAGATACGATAGACAAGACCGACCAGAGGGTCGGTTCATATACCAAAGTATAAACGAGTGCAACGCATATAGCTGATGAGAATTATATCGATATTCTACAAACGAATGTGAAATATGCTATACTAGATGAAAATATAACCAACACGGGCCGTAACAGAGTCGTACGCGACCGGAAAGTTCGAAAACCCTTCAGCATCGAAAACGATGAACGTGGCGGAAAGAGCGTCACGACAACATTCGAACGGAAAATACGACAAAAACACGCGTTAAATCTAGAAGGAGTAGAAAAAAAACACGAATCACACACACATCGACCGCCGCCGTGGTCGTTTTCGCGCGCACAAAGTCCTGTTAAAGAGTTACTAAACATTGGAAACCTTCCGAGAACCGTATACTCGGGTCGTAAACGTAAACGAAGGGAGAACGATAAATTCCACTAGGTTGATATCCTGCGGAACACCGGGTGCAAACGGTTGGTGGTGCGTGCGCGCTTTTTTCCCGCGGGGTCGTGGGGCGCGTAGGCGACGTGCGTGCGCGCGTGCATGACTCATCGGTGCGGCGGCAGCGGACCCCGTCTGTCCATATCGAGCGAAGCACGTCGCCGCCGTCGCATACTTTCACCGCGCACCGACACACAGAACGTTGTCGCCAAGCGTTTCAGTCGCAGCCGACGGACAACTTAACGACCGACGAAACGAACACGACGATGTATGTGGCGCTCGTCATCCCTTTTTACATTTTCATCGTTTCATGGGCGTATTTTATTAGGGGGGGGGGGGCAAGGGGCGAGCCCCCCCCCCCCTCCGAATCCGTATTCAAGGAATTGACTATATGTAAGACACACATTTCAATGTGTTTTCAATGTGCATCGTTTTACAACGAAATGAAATCACGCGTGGCTATGAATATTAAATTGGGCTTTTTGTCGGGTCCACACTTGGTAAAAAATCAAATAAAACACAAGCGTAACAGACAGGTGTTAAAAAAGAACTACACAAAAGTCGATTCTAAGTGGATCCAGCGTTAGATTAAAAAAACAAAAACCACAAATATTATGGATTCGCATGATTTAAATATTACCAAATATTTTACTTGTAAATGTCGAGTCTGAATTAAAAAAAAAATTCGAATCGCCCCTCCCTAGAAGTGTGTCTAAATACGCCCCTGTATCGTTTGAATATTTCAAGTTCTCCGTGGTGCAACGGTAAAATCGGAGGGATTCGAAATCTCGTTCCGTGGAAACACGTCCTACGTGCACTTGTGCAGATTTACACTACATATCCTTTCCTACGGCAGACGATTATGATTAGTTTTTTTCGCAACAAATCAAAGTTTTAATTTTTTTCACGTAAAAACATGTCTCCGCGTCATACCGCGTATACAAAAGTCGCCCAACCCCCCAACGACGGTGACATAACATTTAGATGCGTTGCGAATCGTCCTACTGGCGTCATACGTTTGCGCAGAAGCAGTCCGCCGAGATCCTCATGGAAAGATAATGCTCGCAAAACAGCTTATTCTTCTGAATAATTCTTCTTCGGTGCATTTCGAGTACTTTCAATAACAATTTTAGCATTTTAGCCATCACGACGAACAACTGTAAAACCCACAAGCGTGATTCAGCGACATATGTATCCGTTTCACATTTTTTCGTATAAAAAACAAAAACCTACTGGCCATATGGTGGTACGCTCAGTTACTAATAAACAAACTATTTTTGATCGATTAAATAAATTGTACGGGACGTAAACCAACACATTGCACACTTTTTCACTACATCGTAAACAGCGGTCCGATCGTAACGGTATATTGTTGTTTTACTGATTGTAGTCATCATCATAATACATGTTATAATAATTTTATCAAACATTTCACGTTAAAAAACTGTTTAGCTCTTGTTTATGAAATAAAACGAAAATTGCCCTATCCCGTGGTTGTTTTGTACAGCATAATTTCTGGACGATTCGGACATTCGCATCTCAAAGGAAATGTTATCATTTGTTAATTGAAAAACGCTTTAGAGTGCTTCGCGCTGGAAATCCATTTCTAATGGCAACCACCCAAACGTCGGGGAGTTCTAAAAGAGTGGCGGCGTCAGAGGCGATAGAGGAGCGCATCCAATGGAATTTCGGTCGGTTTTATTGTCGGACGATGACGTTGTTGACGATAAAATTACAGCGTGCACTAGTCATTAAAATATTCTGCGCGCGCCACGAGATTTTCGCACGATTCCATTTATAACCATATTTTGATATTAATTACGCGTTCCTGCGACGTATTCGGCGTATTGGGACGCATTATTATTATTATTTTTTTTTTTAAATGTCGTTGAAATAACTCGTTTCCCTACTTGAATTCTATCGTGGAATATATTGTGCGTGCGCACGAAAAACTTTACGGGAAACGATTCTATCTCACGTATTAACATTGTAGTTACACGATACACGCTCGTTTCGTATAATCGAAATCTACGTCTCAAATGAACACATTGTATAGGGTGGTGACACGTTTTTTGGGCCGGACAGCGGAAAAATGTGAACAATTCTAGATAACCGTAACTGTTTTCCGACCGGGTTTCGTTTTACTCTGACCGAGAGAGTTGATTATTACTGGTTAAGCGCGCGATTTACCGAACAACTTTTCGGATTTTTCTTATCGGAATCGAATATAATACTATAATATGACCGCACACTTATTGTTTTGTAACCTAACTGAAAGTTGATAGCACATGCTGTACGTACACGAAAGATAAGTCCGTGGCACCACGTTTTAAACTTTATCGCGGTACGTAAGGTATACGTCATTTTATTTTTATTTTTTTAATTATTGTAATCTGAACAACACACGTTAGGTCAAAATGTCAGTTGCGAGCATATTGTTTCGTGAAAAAAACAAATTCCAACCGAATTGAATAATCAATTTATAGTAACGAACAAAAAATTACTGGTCGATATTCGACCAGTATTATATATATATATATATGGTAACGTATATACGTATACATTAATAAGCACTAGGTGTGTACGCATTCAATATACGTAAAAAAAAAAAAAATAATAGCGATTCAAAGTCCGAAAAAATTAATCCAAAAAGAACGACTAATATTAGACGTCTAGCTTTCGTGTATTGCCAAAGATAACGTGAATAATGTTTTCTAAATGAAAATATTTATTTCAAACAATATTACTCTTTCAAGTATGATGAGATACCGTTTGTCCCGCGCC